TATATATATATATATATATATATATATATATATATATGTTCAAAATCAAAAATCCACATTACTTTATTTCCGTAAATATTTATCTAATACATGATAATTCGCAATGAGGGAAATGAGGAAAAGGACAAATTCATAGCACTTACAAAGTAATATTTTTTCCCCAGTACACCAGTTGTACTGTTCATTTTCCACTTGTTCTGCCACTAGTCAATGCATTGAATCTGGGTTGACTAGTAGTGGATCACATGACTACAGTTGCGCTTGTTATACTGTATGGTGACAGTAAAATGAGAAATCTTTTTCTGCAGGTTTTGTGACCCACGATTTGCTGATAGTACTTGCTAGCAATATTTGGCTGTTTAGCATGGTCCAGTTTGCCCCTGCTTATTATTCCAAACTTCTGACTTCAGTCATTCAAGTCATTCTTCTGCAATCAAGGGAAGAGGTGGATCAGTGATCACACCCAGAAGGACTTATTGTGTCTTAAGTCCGGATCTTCAGGACTTTTCTTCTTACAGCAGCTAATCTGAATAAGAACACTTTTTTGTGTGTTGTCGACTTGAAGGTGCAGACAGAAAGTGCATGTCTGATGACCCTGAAATGACACAGCAGAGAAGATAGCTTGAAACTGACTGGAAAACTACCAAAACTACAGAAAACGTTTTAGAGGAACTGTTCTTTATCTGTGCTTTTAGTTAAGGCTTGAGGGGATGGCCTCTTTCCCAGAATTCCTGAATGACTCGTCTATCCACAATGACCCTGGTGCAAAGGTGCCCCTGCCTTGGGCAGGATTCATCACGCTGTCCCTCCTCATGGCCGTGTTCTCCATCACAGCTGTCGTGTTGAACACTACAGTGATAGTCGTCACCCTCCGGCACAAACAGCTGCGGCAGCCGCTGAATTTTGCCCTGGTCAATCTCGCCGTGGCCGACCTGGGCATCACGTTAACAGGAAGTGTGCCATCTGTGGTGACCAATGCAGTGGGCTACTACATTACGGGACGGGTCGGATGTGTACTGGAGGGATTTTGTGTGGCATTATTTGGTAAGTCTGTTCTGGGTTCATTCCAACACAAAATAATTTTATTTATTTATCTCTTATTTATTTTTGATTCACTAAAAAGAATCAGCTGGTAAGAGTAATTTGTTCGTGAATCGGACAAGCTGCACTTTAATAATTTTTTTATTCACTAAAAAGAACCGGCTCAAAAGAGTCGTGAATCTATCAGTCAGAAAATTTAGCCTAAAAAAATCTAGTTGTTTCTCAAGCAAATATATTTTTAACATTATCCAAGGGAATCTTTCTGTTAACCCTTAAAATACGAGTTGAGTGAACTCTAACTTAAAGGGTTAGTTCACCCAAAAATGAAAATTCTGTCATTAATTATGTTACTCACCTTGGTGTTGTTCGAAACCCGTAAGACTTTTGTTCATCTTCGGAACACAATTTAAGATATTTTTGATGAAATATGAGGGCTCTCTGGCCCGCAAAGAAAACAAAAATAACGACTTTATTCCACATTTTTGTCTCTACTGCTTCACTTGTGGAGGCAAGTTCACGACAATAGTCACAGTACCATGACGCGAGTGTGTGGCGGCGCTGACCCAGATCCGGCGTAATGACGTCATCACGTCGGATCTGGGTCAGCGCAGGTGCCGCCACACGCGCCACACGCATGGTACTGTCGTGAACGTGCGTCCAAAGTGATGCAGTAGAGATGAAAATGTGGAATAAAGTCGTTATTTTTGTTTTCTTTGTGCAAAAAAGTATTCTCGTAGTTTCGTAACTTTACAGTTGAACCACTGATGTCACATGGACTACTTTGTCGATCATCTTGGTACTTTTCTGGACCTTGAACGTGGTAGTTACCTTGCTGTCTATGGGAGGGTCAAATAGCCCTCAGATTTCATCAAAATATCTTAAATTGTGTTCCGAAGATGAACGAAGGTCTTACGGGTTTGGAACAACACGAGGGTGAGTAATTAATGACAGAATTTTCATTTTTGGGTGAACTAACCCTTTAACTCTGCACAGGTATAACAGCGCTGTGCACAGTGGCCCTGATTGCAGTGGAACGGCTGTTCGTAGTGTGCAAGCCTCTGGGTACCATCACATTCCAGACCAAGCACGCCGCAGGAGGATTGGCGTTCTCCTGGCTCTGGTCTCTGATCTGGAATACTCCACCTCTCTTTGGCTGGGGGAGCTACCAGCTGGAGGGAGTCGGCACATCCTGCGGACCTGACTGGCAGAGTCGAGATCTCAAAAATGTGTCTTACATCATCTGTTACTTCTCACTCTGTTTTGCTGTGCCATTCGTCATCATTGTGGTGTCATATTCATGGCTGCTCTACACGCTAAGACAAGTAGGACATTGTCCTGGTTTACTTTACTGTTTTAATGTTATGTTTCTGAACTGTTGAAATGTAGTTGCAGTGGTGTGCAGTAATGAAGCATTACTTACCTGTAATTGATCAGAGTAGGCCTATTGGTAGCACTTTATTTTACAGTCCTGTTTCTCATGTACATACTATGTACTTATTATAGTAATTGCAATAACTAGGTAATAGCTAGGTACTAACCCTGAACCTACCCATAAACCTAACCCTACCCCATGTAGTTACCATATATTACCAGTACTTTCTTGTAGGTACACCGTAAGTACATTAAGTACACGTACTGTAAAATAAAGTGCAACCTGCCTATTTTCATTTTGGCAAATGTTTACTTTTACTTCGATACATTCTTAATCATAATATTGTCATTTTGATCCTGTTACATTTCATAAAAACATATAGTTCGTCCCTTGTGAGAAGCACGATTTGAATTAAAAAAGTTAAAGGAATAGTTCATCCAAAAATAAAAATTTGCTGAAAATTTACTCACCTTTAATTAGGCCATGCAAGATGTAGCCTAGATGAGTTTGTTTCTTCATCAGAACAGATTTGGAGAAATTTAACATTACATAATTTGCTCACCAATGGATCCTCGGCAGTGAATGGGTGCCATCAGAATGAGAGTCCAAACGGCTGATAAAAACATTATAATAATCCACACCACTCCAGTCCATCAATTAATGTCTTGTGAAGTGGAAAGCTGAATGTTTGTAAGAAACAAATACATCAAGACAATTTTCATTTGAAAACCATTGCTTCTGGCTAAAATACAAGTGTTCAATCCATATTGGTTTTTATCAGCTGTTTGGACTCTCATTGTTGCGGCACCCATTCACTGCAGAGGATCCATTAGTCAAAAAGTGATGCAATGCTAAATTTCTCTAAATTTGTTCTGATGAAGAAACGAAAACATTTTTGGGTGAACTGTTCCTTTAAGGCATTTTGCCTTATGTAACGTCTGCCCATTCTATTTTTATACTGTTTGTTGCCACATATTTACACAAATTTAGTTTTTCTTAATTTTAAAAAAAACTAAATGTTATAGTCTGCACACTTAATTTATCAGTAATTAGATTTTTTTTAGTATATTGAATAGTATTGTATTGATAGTGTATAACGGGTGTCAAACTCAATTCCTGGGGGGCCGGAGCCCTGCAGAGTTTAGATTCAACCCTAACCTACCCATAAACCTAACCCTACCCCATGTAGTTACCATATATTACCAGTACTTTCTTGTAGGTACACCGTAAGTACATTAAGTACACGTACTGTAAAATAAAGTGCAACCTGCCTATTTTCATTTTGGCAAATGTTTACTTTTACTTCGATACATTCTTAATCATAATATTGTCATTTTGATCCTGTTACATTTCATAAAAACATATAGTTCGTCCCTTGTGAGAAGCACGATTTGAATTAAAAAAGTTAAAGGAATAGTTCATCCAAAAATAAAAATTTGCTGAAAATTTACTCACCTTTAATTAGGCCATGCAAGATGTAGCCTAGATGAGTTTGTTTCTTCATCAGAACAGATTTGGAGAAATTTAACATTACATAATTTGCTCACCAATGGATCCTCGGCAGTGAATGGGTGCCATCAGAATGAGAGTCCAAACGGCTGATAAAAACATTATAATAATCCACACCACTCCAGTCCATCAATTAATGTCTTGTGAAGTGGAAAGCTGAATGTTTGTAAGAAACAAATACATCAAGACAATTTTAATTTGAAAACCATTGCTTCTGGCTAAAATACAAGTGTTCAATCCATATTGGTTTTTATCAGCTGTTTGGACTCTCATTGTTGCGGCACCCATTCACTGCAGAGGATCCATTAGTGAAAAAGTGATGCAATGCTAAATTTCTCTAAATTTGTTCTGATGAAGAAACGAAAACATTTTTGGGTGGTGAACTTTTCCTTTAAGCCATTTTGCCTTATGTAACGTCTGCCCATTGTATTTTTATACTGTTTGTTGCCACATATTTACACAAATTTAGTTTTTCTTAATTTTTAAAAAAACTAAATGTTATAGTCTGCACACTTAATTTATCAGTAATTAGATTTTTTTTAGTATATTGAATAGTATTGTATTGATAGTGTATAACGGGTGTCAAACTCAATTCCTCTGTGTGTGTCAGTCATATTTATTGTTGTCTGTCAAAAGTCCATAAGCTCCAGCTATGTCTAAGCTCATGCAAGGACAAAGTATTTCAAGGGCGAGAGCAAGCCACGCTGTAGGTTGTGTGTTCATCCCTGCTCAAAGATAATGTTATATCACAAGTGGGGACACACAAAGCCTGTCCATGGTTTGCTTGAGAACGAAGCATTGTTGTAGAGCTCGCCAGTTGCACAAACATCAGTTACACAAGCATATTATGCCTTATATTATAATGAGCAGCATTAATAAGGAGCGGAGCTCGAGCAGTCGGGGTGGATTGTGTTTTTTTTCCCGCTATTAAATGCTCCGCTCTCGCCGGGCACGCTCCGAGGAGTGTGTCCGTGCCT